GTGTGTGTGTGTGTGTGTGTGAAAGAGAGAGTGAGAGAGAGAGAGAGAGAGTGAGAGAGAGAAAGAGAGAGAGAGAGCATGCATTTTTTCGTTCTTTTGGGGTGTCTTTGCCCAAATCAAATTTGAAGATATTGCTAATAAAGGTGCGTTTAAGTTACATCGAACGACCGCCTGAGCGATCGATGATTTAAATGCGAATTTGGTTGGCACATGGATAAAATAAGATGAAAGATGCATTACTGAAATAAAAAACAAAATAGGACAGGCAAAAACTGCATTTTCTAAAAAAAAAACATCTTATGCAATATATCTTTGTCTTGCTTGCTACATACATCCAGTTTTAACATTTGGCTACAAGTCCTGGACAATCGGTAGGCAGGCCAAACAATTTTTTCAGGCCTCAGAGATGTGGTTTTACAGAACAATGCTTAAAATACATTGGACAGCCTAAAAAAAAATCAACCACTAGGTTTTGAAAGAGGCGGGAGCGCAAAGACAACTAATCACAGACATCAGAAGGAGACAGTCATCATTTTTCGGCCATGTTATAAGAAGAGTGAAAATGGAACATGTTGTGACCACTGGTAAGATTTGTGGAAGGAGGGATAGAGGAAGACAACAAAAGAAGATTCTTGTCAGTCCTGTTGCATGTCATGGAGGTGTGTCAGCTCACAAACTGTGATACATGCTGCAGGAGATCGCAGATTGTGGCGAGGCAAAATCGCCCACACCAGTCGGCAAGGCACCTGATGATGATGATACACTATTCGTATTCATATTCGGCCCAATAGTTGGTCCCACTATTCGTATTCGGCCGAATAGTGAAAATCACTATTCGGTACAGCCCTAATAATTTTTAAACAATACTTTCCTCGATTGGTTTGTTATTTGGATGATGCAATTCGCACAAAATGTTGCATTCTGCAGTTGAAAATGCTGCATCTCGAAATGCTAACTTTCGCAATGTATAGGCTGAATAACTTATACATTATCATCTCTAAATCTCTTGAACAAGAGCCAGTCAATTAATATTTGTGTCATTTTCATGTTCAGCATCCCCACATTAGTAAAGATTTGTTGTTTTCATGTCAATGTCATAAGCTTGTTGTCCAGCGTTATTGGTCTGACGAATAACAAAGAAATTCGTCGCCTTTAGAAAATAGCAGCACCTGTGCAATTGCAAATTATACAATCATAAGGACAGGGGAAATCTAAGACCCCATGCAAACAACTCTATTGATCAATGTAGGAGTCTTCGAGATGTTTGTTAGTCTGAGGGCATTACTTTGTAACACATCAAATATTGGCGTAATAAGTGAGTGGTAGCCTGCTCTGTAATGCTGTTGCTAGCAGCAGATAGCAGCAGATAGCACACAGTGGTGTCCGCTTATAGCAGCGGATACTTGGTCCCCAAGACTGTGTGCATCAATAAGGTGCATTTCCATCCTCCATGACGTGAAGGTGCAGCTGGGATTTGTCCCTTCGTCTAAATGTGATTTCCTTGCTGGTGGATAACCATAAGCATTTAATGCTGTTTAATCTGTTTTTCTAATGCTAACAACTCAACACTTGTTTACCTAAGATGAACACTCGGTTATCATAAACATAAATTTTGTACCAGCAGAAAATGCTGATTATGTATGCTGATACATCTAGGACTTTCCAGTTAGCACAAATTCTTTTTAACACAAACTCTTGAATTTTTTCGGCCTTTAGGAATGCACGTTAATGAGGTTTTACCGTATAATACATTCTTCAGTGTGAACTATGTGAGTCGCTGTGGGTTGGCGGCTAGATGCCTGCCGGAGAATCTGAAGACAGCGCATTCAAATCCCCGTGGAGCTGGACTTTTTTTTTCATACATGACCTGAGTTCCCAGGTCGACCCAGCATTCAATGGGTACCAAGTAAAGTCACTGGAAGTAAAGGTGGCCGGCCAGATTTTGACCATCTCAGCCCTATTATTCAATTTAAAAAAATAGTTATCAAACAACAAATTACTCAACAATTGAGAATCACACGAGAACAAAAAAGTTACTCAACAATAAAAATTAACGCAAGAATAATAGATTACTAAAAAATGAAGGATAACACAAGAACTGCAGACATATTAACTATAAGAGAAAACACTAAAATAACAGATTAATAAACACTAAAGGGTATACAAATAACAAATTAATCAACACGGATGGATAACATTAAAATAACATGAACACCATAAATTGTAAGCCTACATTAATCTCTATTTATGGCAGAAAAATATGCACATTATTGTAAAACAAATATATTCTTACAAAAATATGCCTTCATTAAATAAACCTGATTATACAGCTTCACAAACAAAATATACACACAAACATTCTTTTTTACATAAACTAAACACAAGCGCCCACGTTTCATTGAGGCCCATAAGTTACCTAATTTATGTTTCTAATTATGTTTTTTCCTTCCAGATATGCATTTAGGATAACAATCTAAAGAATGAGAATCACACAACTACAAATTGCAGTCATTCCTTTCAACTAATAGTATAGGTATACAGAGGCAACATAAAAGGTTATGAAGTGAACTGTAGTCCAGTGTGGATGGGCCTAATAATTATTTTCAAGCAGGCAGATGGAAAAAAAATAATATGCAGTATGAAGTTTGGTGGGTTTGGAGTGAAACACTAGAAGGAAGAAGGAGGGCAGCAGGAAAAGGAGAAGGAGGAGAAGAATAATAAGAAGAAGGGGGAGGAGAAGAGGACAGAGGACATACAGAAGAAAGAAAAGGAGAAGAAGAAAAAGAAGGATGAGGAGAAGAAGCAGCAGCAAAAGAAGCAGATCAACATGAAAAGAAGAGTAATAAAAGAAAATGAAACAGCAGCAGCATAAATTTACAGTGCAGACCTGATAAGAACTACTCACTTTGGACCCAAAAAATGGTTCTTCTTATCAGAAATTCCTTTTATTCAGATAGGAGTTTAAGCAAGAAAAAAACTGCTGGGGATAAACAAACTGTTCATGACACAACAGAAATTCGCCACATCTGAGATCACCTTATGCGGCCTGCACTGTTCTTGCACAAGGATAATATAACCCTTCTCTCTAGACTGTTGGCTGAGGATTTGCCAGTTAAGACTAATAAGAGTTTTTAACTTTTTCAGTCAAATCCATGATCTGACTTCACAGGATAGAACTGGCCTGTGTGACATATAAGGACACAACAGGACAACGAATGAACGAGTCTGCAGGCTACCACAGTGGGTGTCTTTGGGGTTTCCGTGGCCAAGTGGTCAAGCTGTCTGCTTTGTGTTCCGAAGGTGGTGGCAGCATTCAGTTCACAGGTGCAATTTTTAACAGAGATCCCTGTGGATCGCTGTTGGAGCCACTGAGTTTGTGCTGTGTGTTTTTATTACATCAATTTAAATAATGCGGATACAATACTAAAAATTAACAGTGAACAAAATAAATGGTTGCAAACTTTAAAATGCCATGGTAATCATATGGCTAGTTTCCTGTGTGGGTTCCATAGCCATAAAGTGGGGGAGAACAAGAACCCACTGCCTTCCCAACAATCATGTTATTTCGACTAATTGGGGGCTTCCCACAAAGTCGGAGTACATCTGCCTGAGAGGCAAGGAACCAACAGTCTGCATAAAAATAAGCAAGATCTGTAAAACGGATGCACACGCAAAAGCCTAAGTCCAGAAATAGACAAAAAACAGAAATAAAACAAAAAGGTCTTTCCGCTGGACTTTACAGCCAGTGAACAAAAACAACAACAACAACGACAACAACAACAACAACAACAGCTAATATCGAATTTCTGACAGAAAGATGTAGTGTAACTAGATATTGTGATTTGTGTACTTCAGCGAAAAGGATTATATTTTTTTTGGGGGGTGCTTTATGAAATGTTGACGTAACTCTGTAGCAATGCACCTGACGAGTTGTTATAAAACATGACATGCAATATACTGTTCAATGTATTTTGTCTTCTTTTTCTTCTTCTTTTCTTCTGCCTTTCTAGCCCCCAATGGAGCATAGGCCCTCAACTAACTCACGCCAAGTCGTTCTATCCTTTGCTATCCTTTTCTATATCTATCGCATGTAGATCTCCCCATCTTTTTAACTTCACTCTCTAGCTCCCTTCTCTGTGTGCTTTTATCTCTTCCTTTATTTCTATGCCCCTGTGGGTTCCAAGATAAAGACATTCTAGTTATTCTCAGGTTTTCTTAACGTGTGTCCCATCCAATGACAGCGTCTTTTCTTCACCTCTAGGTTCAGTGGATCTTGTTTAGTTCTTTCTTAAGCTCCACATTAGTGATTATATCATACACTTTAATTCCTTCTATTCTGCGCAGGCACCAGTTAACTCATTGAGTCCCATGAAACGCATCATACGTTCATAAGTTCTTACCTAGAAGCCCAATGAACGCATGATTTGTTGATTTTAGTCTCTCTTTACTACCCTCTGGGCCTGTGATGCTAAACCCCCTGGGACTCAAAGAGGTAATGAATGTTTGTAGTTTATTAGTAATTGCCTTAGTTGTTCTTCACATTTCCACCCTAAACAACAGTACTGATTTAACACTGAAATTAAAAAATTTTAGTTTAGCATTAGTTTTAATTTCTTTTAACCTCCACAAATTCCCTAGTGCTATGAAAACTCCTCTTGCCTTTTGTATTTGAATATCTCTATCAGTTTCCCTATCTTTATCTACATTACTGCCCAAATAGTTGTGTTCGTTGTGCGCCCATTTTTTAAACAAGTGAATGTAAAACTGCCTAATAAAACAACAAACAGCCAACCAATGCGGAGTTGGTCTGCAACACACTGTGAAGAATAAGCAATTAACTTAACTCTTTGAGTCTCAAGGAGTATCATACGTTTATAGGTTCCTACCTAGAAGCCCAGTCATTGCACGATGCGCCGATTTTGTCTCTCTTTACTACTCCTGGACCTGTGATGCTAAACCCTCCGGGACTCAAAGAGTTAAGTTTTGCAGAACAACACTGATCAAGAATTCTTCACTGTCACAAGGCCTGGCTGGCGCTGCACTCTCCGTAGATCTTGTCCAGATTTGTTTGCGATCACAATGTTGTCAATGTGTTGAGAGAGAACCTTCACGGCTTCCCTGGGGTCACCGGGTGGTAGTTTAGGGCAACGGTTTTCTTCTCTCCACTTCTCTGCCTTTAGTTTTGAGACAGAGAAAAGGCAAAATTCATTAACCTTTAACCTCATTAAGTCAAATAAAAATAAAGGACCCGTTTTATCCCAGCAGCGCATTAGGCATATGATGCTAGACGTATATTCATAGACCAGTCGGGACTCAGAGGGTCATGTGGTCAACGTCATGCCAGCCGAGGGCTGCATGAGAGCCACGCTAGCGCAGTCGATAGGAGACTTGCTTCCAAATCCAGTTGGGACTCGCTGCATCGCAGCGAGCTGTACGAGGGCCACGCTAGCGCAATCAATAGGAGACTTGCTTTCAAATCCAGCTGCGACTCCCTGCATCCCACAGCTGGTGTTAGGGGTTCACCCTGCCTCTAGGAAATGGGTACCAGTGTTAAAACTCTGGGGTAAATGGAGGAACTGGTGGCAGAGCACTTATGATTTACAACCGTGTGCAATGACGCTGGTTCACATCTCTCGACTTTCTCTACCTTTTTGTGCTTGTGTTCTCCTTTTTCTTCATTTGTCCCACTGCTTATGTTGTAAAGTGTCATGGGGAAGAGTTACATGTAGTTTTTCTGTCTTCTGCTAGCTGCAAAATTTGTGTTAATGTCAAACTGTATTTCTTTAGTGTCTTGTCACCCCCCCCCCCCCCCCCACCCCCCCCCCCCCCCCCCCCCCCCCCCCCCCCCCCCCCCCCCCCCCCCCCCCCCCCCCCCCCACCCCCCCCCACCCCCCCCCCCACCCCCCCCCCACCACCCTCCCCCCCCCCCCCCCCCCCCCCCCCCACCACCCATCTCTTTCTTGTTTGGCCTCTTGATTTATAGCCTGCTGTTTTCACGTTGAATGCTCTAGCCTCTGGCTGATTTTGCTCCATTCTAACCAGGTGATGAAACCATTTGATTCTTTGATGTTCTGTGAAATCACCAGGTGATGAAACCATCTGATTCTTTGATGTTCTGTGAAATCACCAGGTGATGAAACCATTTGATTATTTGATGTTCTGTGAAATCACCAGGTGATGAAACCATTTGATTCTTTGATGTTCTGTGAAATCACCAGGTGATGAAACCATTTGATTCTTTGATGTTCTGTGAAATCACCAGGTGATGAAACCATTTGATTCTTTGATGTTCTGTGAAATCACCAGGTGATGAAACCATTTGATTCTTTGATGTTCTGTGAAATCACCAGGTGATGAAAACCATTTGATTCTTTGATGTTCTGTGAAATCACCAGGTGATGAAACCATTTGATTCTTTGATGTTCTGTGAAATCACCAGGTGATGAAACCATTTGATTCTTTGATGTTCTGTGAAATCACCAGGTGATGAAACCATTTGATTCTTTGATGTTCTGTGAAATCACCAGGTGATGAAACCATTTGATTCTTTGATGTTCTGTGAAATCACCAGGTGATGAAACCATTTGATTCTTTGATGTTCTGTGAAATCACCAGGTGATGAAACCATTTGATTCTTTGATGTTTTGTGAAATCACCAGGTGATGAAACCATCTGATTCTTTGATGTTCTGTGAAATCACCCAGTGATGAAACCATCTGATTCTTTGATGTTCTATGAAATCACCAGGTGATGAAACCATTTGATTCTTTGATGTTCTGTGAAATCACCAGGTGATAAAACCATTTGATTCTTTGATGTTCTGTGAAATCACCAGGTGATGAAACCATCTGATTCTTTGATGTTCTATGAAATCACCAGGTGATAAAACCATTTGATTCTTTGATGTTCTGTGAAATCACCAGGTGATAAAACCATTTGATTCTTTGATGTTCTGTGAAATCACCAGGTGATGAAACCATTTGATTCTTTGATGTTCTGTAAAATCATTTACTGGTACTGTGTCTACCACTGATTTAGTTCTTTGTTGGCGACTCTATTTTATTTCCATTACCTTGGTACTAAGGTCAAGTTGGGACAATCTGTGTGGCAGAGACTGCCAGTCTGCACTGACTATACAATCATAGCAGAAGCTGTTCCAGGGACACAACTCTAGTTCCCAGTGATGGTTTCCTACTACTAAATCCTAACTAATAATTTAAAAAAAAGGCATATATCATCATCATCATCAGGTGCCTTGCCGACTGGCGTGGGCGATCATGCCTCTCTATAATCCATGATCTCCTGCAGCATGTATCAGTTCGTGTGCCGACACACCTCCATGCCATGCAACAAGGCTGTCAAAAATCTTCTCTGGTTTTCTTCCTCTATCCCTCCTTCCACAGATCTTTCCAGTGGTCACAACATGATCTATTTTCCCTCTTCTCATAACATGGCTGAAAAATGATGACTGTCTCCTTCTGATGTCTCTGATAAGTTTTCGGGCTCCCGCCTCTTTCAAAACCTCTTGGGTGCTCTTTTTGGCTGTCCAAGGTATTCTGAGCATTCTTCTGTAAAACCACATCTCTGAGGCCTCAAGAAATTGTTTGGCCTGCCTAACGATTGTCCAGGATTCACAGCCATATGTTAAAACTGGATGTATGTAGCAAGCAAGAATTCTTTTTCTAACTATATAACTAAATAAATATAACTATCTTAAAAATGTGAAAGAAGATTCATATATAACAACTTTTATTATATAAATGTGAGACAATATTCATACAGACCTCAATTGACAAAAAATTTGAGACAAAATAATAATTTATAACTTTACTGATAAAAATATGAGATTAAAGTTAGTTGCGTATCCTTTACAGGATGTTACAGAACCAACCCCAGCATTTTTTGGCTGTTGTGGTTTTTCTAGGCAAATTTATGTCCAGTAGATTGCTATGCTTTCTGGACGTTGGGCTTCTCAATACCACTTTCGAAACTAACGCAAGGCCCGCGGCTGGGATCTAACCCGGCACCCAAGCATTACAAAGCGCATTCGCAAGGCCTAAGCCATGGGAGCCGACAAATATGATCAGATTTGTAAATGTTTTAGATATAACAATTTTAATGATAAAGACAAGTTTCAAATATAACACCTATTTGATACAAATATAATAAGATTCATACCTCTGGCTCAAGGAAATCAAGATAATGAGCTCTCTTTAAGCTGTCTGGGTGTGTCTGCATCCACTCTGGTAGCAGGTTGCTGGCACTGTCACCCAGTTTTTCATTGTAAGACATTTTTGTCCACAGTACACTTCCTTGTCGGGTGTCATAACAGGCCTGAGGACAGTTGACATATTATACACACACACTCAGGCATCCCCCCTCTCCCCCCCCCCCCACCAAATGATCGAACCAATAAATCACCACTAAATCAACCCAACAATCCATCAGCCACCAACCAACCACTAAACCAACAAATTTACACCAACCAACTAACCACCAAACTAACCAACCGACCATAAATGAAATACCAACCAGGCAGATAACTAATCAGCTTAAACCAAGTGACCAACCACCTAACTAAACAACCCATTAACTAAATAACCCATTAACAACCCACCAGAAATGAACAAACCAACCAGGCAGATAACCAACCAGCTTAAACCAAGTGACCAACCACCTAACTAAACAACCCATTAACTAAATAACCCATTAACAACCCACCAGAAATGAACAAACCAACCAGGCAGATAACCAACCAGCTTAAACCAAATGATCAACCACACATGAACTAAACAATCCACCAACCATTCTGCCTTCCAACCAACCAATCCATCAACTTACCATCAAAATAACCAACCTCTAACCAGGCAGCTAATCAACCATCCAACAAACCTTAACCAACCAAGAAACCCATCAACCAACAACCTTTGCTTGATCTTCTCAGTACTCAGTCCATTGTGTTTCTTCATCATGAATCTCTGTGGGGTCTGGTACTAGGGAATTCTCATCAGGCGGCCAAACTACCTCTTTCGTTGCTCTTTGATATTCTGCATGCCTGGTTTTAGGTCAGTCTTGTTCTAATTTCTTTGGTTTTAACTTTTATTTTCTTGTGACCTTGCAAATCACCCATTCCATCAACCAACCACTTAACCAAAGACAGTTGTTACCCACTCAGCCAACCAACCACTTAAACAAATCCAATCACCCACTTCACCAACCAACCACTTAACCAAATCCAATCACCCACTCCACCAACCAACCACTTAACCAAATCCAATCACCCACTCCACCAACCAACCACTTAACCAAATCCAATCACCCACATCAACCAACCACTTAACCAAATCCAATCACCCACATCAACCAACCACTTAACCAAATCCAATCACCCACATCAACCAACCACTTAACCAAATCCAATCACCCACATCAACCAACCACTTAACCAAATCCAATCACCCACTTTACCAACCAGCCACTTAACCAAATCCAATCACCAACTCCACCAACCAACCACTTAACCAAATCCAATCACCCACTCCACCAACCAACCACTTAACCAAATCCAATCACCCACTCCACCAACCAACCACTTAACCAAATCCAATCACCCACTCCACCAACCAGCTAGCAGCCAAAGAAAGTAGTAGTTAACACTGGGTTACTGAATATATATAGAACCTGTCCTTAAATGGAGGTGGTCAAAGGCCAACTAGGTTTCTACAGGTTGGGAAGAAATCTACTCCAGCCTGCTATAGAACAGAAAACCATTTCAGGTTTCAAAAAACCTAAAAGCAAATGCCTCAGTCTTTGTAGTTCACAAAAATATTCAAGAAAATTCATCAGCTAAAAAACCAGCCAAATGACGAAGCAGCTAATCAATGAAGCAGCCAATCACACAATAACCAATCAACAAACCAGCCAATCAACCAACCAGCAAGCCAGTTACCCAACTGGCAAGCCAATGAATAAGCCAGCAAGCAAATGAACAAGCCAGCAAGCCAATGAACAAGCCAGCTAATGAACCAACCAGCAAGCTAATTAACCAGCAAGCCAATGAATCAGCCAGCAAGACAATAAACCAACCAGCAAGCCGATCAACCAACCAGCAAGCCAATGAGCCAATCAGCAAGCCAGTCAACCAACCAACAAAACAATTAACCAACCAGCGAACCAATCAACCAACCAGCAAGCCAAACAACCAAAAACAAAACAACAACACTAACAAAAAAAAAGTAATCTAAAAGAGTACCCTTGCAGCAAATAGAAGTCCAACTTTGTCAGCTTCTTTCTCCAACTTTCTGCTGTGAGGCATGTGCGTCAATAACTGTAAGAGAGCATCGTGAAAATGGATTCATGCTGTGAGGTGCATGAGTCAGCAGCTGTTATAGAAACTTATGAAAATGTTACAGGTATTGTAAAGTATCTTTGTAATGCCGGGATGCCGGGTTCGATCCCAGCTGCGGGCCATGCGCTTTGCGTTGGTTTCGACAGTGGTATCAAGAAAGCCGACCGTTCAGAAAGCAATGGCAAACTACTGGACGTAAATTTGCCTAGAAAAACCACAGGTTGGTTCTGCAATGTCCTGTAAAGGATACACAACTATTGTAAAGTATATGAATCAGCAGCTGATATAGAAACTTATGAAAATGTTACAGGTATTGTGAAGTATATGAGTCAGCAAGTGCAAGAGAAAAATTATGAAAGTACACCGGTGATGTGAGGCATATGAGTCAGCAGCTGTTACAAGAAAACTATTAAGATACATCAGTGCTTCTTCTTCTTCGCGTTCCCTAGCTGTAAACTCCAGCAGAAAGTTCTGGTTGTTCGTCCACTTCTGGACTGCAGTCCTGTTCGAAAACTTGAGTGTTGCGTGTGCATCCCTTTTACAGATCTGACTCATTTGTATGCAGACTGTTGGTTCCTTGCCTCTCAGGCAGATGCACTCTGACTTCGAAGGAAGCTCCCAATTAGTTTACTCTTACAACATGCTTTTGGGTAGGCAGTGGGTCTATTCAGTGTGTTAAATCATGTTAATTTACATATGTCTGTGTAACAGCCATTATTCTCTTACCTGTATAACTCTGTCATAGAACCATTATGTTAAATCATGTTAATTTACCTATGTCTGTGTAACAGCGATTATTCCCTTACCTTTATGACTGTCATTGTACCAGCATGTTAAATCATGTTAATTTACCTATTTCTGTGTAACATCCATTATTTCCCTACCTGTATGGACTGTCATAGAACCAGTGTGTTAAATTATGTTAATTTACCTATGTCTGTGTAACAGCCATTATTCCTTTACCTGTATGACTCTGTCATAGAACCAGTGTGTTAAATCATGTTAATTTACCTATGTCTGTGTAACAGCCATTATTCCCTTACCTGTATGACTCTGTCATAGAACCAGTGTGTCAAAAGAGCAATTCCATCAAAGGGCATGATGCACCAAATAGCGGCCAGGCAGAAGATGACAAACACATCAACAAATTTGCCCAGGCTCAGTTCTTCAACCTGAACACAAGGAGAAAGAAATGGGTTGCAGCTTTATATCACAGCTTTATGTCACAGTTTTATGTCACAGCTTTACCACTTTCCAGACTATAATATGGAAGGTATGCTCCAGTGATTTTTTTTGTGTATGTGCGGTACGCATTACCAGTGCCCTATTGTAGCCTAATTCGCTCTTCGCTACTAAAATTCCTAAATACATCCTTTGTGGTGAGAACCAGCACCTTTTTTTTCAGACACTTTGGGTGAGGTCCTGGCTACACAAATAAGAACGTTTAAAAATATATATAAAAAAAAATAATTTTTTAATGCCTTCAGCTTATTGGGCATACAGGGCTAGACCTATATTTTATAGATCCATCAGCACTCAGTGGGTGATGTGGTTAGCATCATGCAGGTTTCCTTTACTTCCAAGGATTTTACCTGATACCTGGGACTGTAGGCAATGGTAGATACGCAGTACTAGCGCCTTGTTATAGCATCATTTTCTCAGCGCTACTAAAAAATGTTATAGTGAGGCCTTTGCTACACTAATGAAAATAAAATTTTTTTTATTTAAAAACAAAAAAAATCATTTCAAAACCTTCAGGTGTATTTGACATATAAGGCTAGCCCTATATTTTATAGACTATCGCCACTCATGGGGTGATGTGGTCAATATCAAGCCGGCTCCCTTTACTTCCAAGGACTGTATCTGATACCTGGCACAGAAGTCATTAAAAAAAAACAAAAAAACAACAACAACAGTCTGTCATCATCAGGGCCTGAACCCAAGACCTTCAGATCCACAAGCGAGCGTCTAGCCACTACAGGTTGTACTAACATGATTGGTTGTTTTTGTTTTCACACTGATATGTAAGTTTTTGTTGTTTTGCACGTTGACTGTAGTGTGCAGGCAGAAGAAAATTACAAAGATGCCTGTAGTATGTAGGCAGAAGAAAATGACAAAGAAATATAGCTTCCAATTCCTGTGAGGGTTCCGGGGACCCATTTTGGAAGGAACAAAAGAATAGGCCCCCCTGCCCCTTACAAGAAAGCTGTAAAATCAGATGATGATCATAAGGCACAGATATTGCAGCCTAGCTGTAAACCATAAGGCAACTGCTCTTTTAAGGACAAACACAGAAGAAGAAGAATCACACTATATCCTTCCATGTATGTTGTTCCCAAACCTTCACGATTTTAAACTGAGGGATCATCTTACAAACGGAAAGTGTTTAAAATATTTACTTATTAATTTTAATAGGAAACCAGACCTCCAGGATGACCCAGGGTGCGCTGGGAAGACAACATCCGGCAGTCATTAACTGACAGAGGACTGGAATGGAACAAAGTCAGAAAGAAAACTGCTGATAGAGACGTCTGGCGATCTCTCTGGCAAACCTCTACACCCCAAGGTAGAAGAGGAGCGACTAAGTAAGTAAGTAAGTGCTTCTTAATTTTAATAGGGCTAGACCTTTTATAGACTAGTTGGTGAATGATGTGGTCAACATCACCCTAGTTCTCTTTACTTTCCAAGACTTTCTCTTGCACCCATTTAAGGCTGGGTCGACTTGGACAAAAGGTCATTTTTTTAATGAACAAAAAGTTCCGGCTCTGTCAGGACTTGAACACATGATTTTTGGATCCGCAGTCGAACGTCTAGCCACTACACCACAGTGACTCACAGAAAGTAATGTATTACAACTTTAATATATTACAAACAAAAGTGTAAGAATATAACTACAAAAGACAGTGAAGTTTATATTTGAGACAACACTTCAGATACAGATAATCTATTTCAAGCGAATAAAAAAAGTAGAAGAAGAAGAGGAAGAAGAAGAGGAGGAGGAGAAGAAGAACCTTAATTGTCCAAGTGCCAGTTGTCATTCCCAGGTTTTCCCCATTTTCAAGGTCTGCCACAACCACTGTTGGTAGCACAGGTAAGACTTAAATAATCGGGGGTTAAAAATGAAAACCTTAAAGGTGTGACAGCAATTACAATTACTATGCCACCGTCTTGTAACCTGTCAATATTGTTGCTAAGAATGTCAAAATCACATGACAATCCAGTAAGGACAAACATAGTGATGTCACAATGATAGTTTTAAGATAGTCCCCACTTTTGACATGAACCAGAGATGAGCAGCATTCTGTCATCCATTTTTTGATCACTAAAGAGGTGAAACCCCTCAGTAAATAAAGATCTCTAGTGTGGTGATGCATACCTGTCAGTCCAGCAAGAGTAAAAGTAGAGAGGGCAGTTCTAAAACGGCGTGACTTCTGTGACAGGCTGTTCACTACCTGGCCTAACACATGCTTAACACTCTTGACATCCTTAACAACAACAACAGTAACAGGTTACAAGACCATGGCATGATTACTGTAAAATCTATCACATTTTTAAGGCTGTCCTTTGAAGCCCTCTTATATACATAAGTAAAGGTCCCTGTACACACCAGTGGTTCATCAGGCATATAAGGCTAGATATTTGTATAGGCCAATTAGCACTAAATGGGTCATGTGGTTAACATCATGACGTCCACCTTTACTTCCCAAGACTTTACCCGGTACCCATTTAACGGTGACCTGGGAGCCAATGTCACATATAGAGAAACAAATCTGGCCTTATGAGGATTTGAACCCATGACCTTCAGATCCGCCAGTCAGCATCTAGCTGCTAAACTACGGCAGCTTCCCGTATAAGCAAAGTAAGTAAAGGATCCTTTTCCACTGCAGTGGCATATCAGGCATAAAATGGTTGACCCATTGGCTCTTGATGGGGGAAACATCCTGCTAGCCACGTTTACTTCCCAGGACTTTACCTGGTACCTATTTTAGGATGACTCAACCTTAATGTTATTTTTCTCTTTAATCTAACTCATTGCAGAATATTCCTTTTTTATTTCTTTCTTTGCATTTAGTAGAAAGTTCTAGTTGTTTTAGTCTAGTTCCAGAACCTGAGTGTTGCAGGCACATCCATTTTACAAATCTGACATATGTATGAAGAGTGCACTTTATTGCCTCTCCGGCAGATGCACTTCGACTTTGAAAGAAGCACCCAGTTATTCTACTCTTACATGCTTGTTCGGGAAGCATGTGGGTCAATTCTTGTTTTTCCCATAATGGAGCCCCTGAACCCACATGAAGACAATGCGGATTTGAATAACATCTCCATCTGGAAGGTGGGCATTTAGCTGCTACATCACGATGGCTCCCGACTTAAATTATAATGAAGGACAATTGCATACCCTACCCCATGCTCAAGCACCGCATGTGCCATCTCGTGTCCAAGTATTATTGCCAGTTGGTCCTGTGTACTGGCCACTTCTAGGATCCCATCAAAAACAAACATATGGCCGCTCTGAAATGCAAAAAGAGAACATATAAGAACATGTCTTCTTCTTCTTCTCGTTCACCGGCTGTAAACTTAAGCTCAAATTGCTGGTTATTTTTCCCACTTCTGGACTTGAGTCACTTCCAGAAGTGCGTGCATATTTGTTATACAATCTGGCTTATTTGTGCGCAGACATCCTTGCCTCTCAGACAGATACACTCTGACTTTGAAGGAAACATCAATCCTTCCTAGTTAGGCCAGGCTCCTGGTTGGGAATCTATTTCTAGGATGACCACAGGGAGGTGTAGATAGGTCTGGCCAGGCTCACAGTTAGGAATCTGTTTCTAGGATGACCACAGGGAGGTGTAAATAGGTCTGGCAAGGCTCACAGTTAGGAATCTGTTTCTAGGATGACCACAGGGAGGTGTAGATAGGTCTGGCCAGGCTCACAGTTAGGAATCTGTTTCTAGGATGACCACATGGAGGTGTAGATATGTCTGGCCAGGCTCCCAGTTGGGAATGTTTCTAGGATGACCACAGGGAGGTGTAGATAGGTCTGGCCAGGCTAACAGTTAGGGATCTGTTTCTAGGATGACCACAGGGAAGTGTAGATAGGTCTGACCAGGCTCCCAGTTAGGAATCTGTTTCTAGGATGACCACAGGGAGGTGTATATAGGTCTGGCCAGGCACCCAGTTGGGAATGTTTCTAGGATAACCACAGGGAGGTGTTGATAGGTCTGACCAGACTCCAAGTTAGGAATCTGTTTCTAGGATGACCACAGGGAGATGTAGATAGGTCTGACCAGGCTCCCAGTTGGTAATCTGTCTATTATGACCTCAGAGAGATGTAGATAGGTCTGACCAGGCTCCCAATTAGAAATCTGTTTCTATGATGACCTCAGAGAGATGCAGATAGATAGGTAGGTCTGGCCAGGCTCCCAGTTAAAAATCTGTTTCTATGATGACCTCAGAGAGATGTAGATAGATCTGACCAGGCTCCCAGTTAGAAATCTGTTTCTATGATGACCTCAGAGAGATGTAGATAGATAGACAGAAAGGTCTGACCAGGCTCCCAGTTAAAAATCTGTTTCTATGATGACTTCAGCGAGATGCAGATAGATAGATAAGTCTGACCAGGCTCTTAGAAATCTGTTTCTATGATGACCTCAGAGAGATGTAGATAGGTCTGACCAGGCTCCCAGTTAGAAATCTGTTTCTATGATGACCTCAGTGAGATGTAGATAGATAGACAGATAGATAGGTCTGACCAGGCTCCCAGTTAGAAATCTGTTTCTATGATGACTTCAGCGAGATGCAGATAGATAGATAAGTCTGACCATGCTCTTAGTTAAAAATCTGTTTCTATGATGACCTCAGAGAGATGTAGATAGGTCTGACCAGGCTCCCAGTTAGAAATCTGTTTCTATGATGACCTCAGTGAGATGTAGATAGATAGACAGATAGATAGGTCTGACCAGGCTCCCAGTTAGAAATCTTTTTCTATGATTACCTCAGTGAGATGTAGATAGATAGACAGACAGATAGGTCTGACCAGGCTCCCAGTTAGAAATCTGTTTCTATGATGACCTCAGCGAGATGCAGATAGATAAGTCTGACCAGGCTCCCAGTTAGAAATCTGTTTCTATGATGACATCAGAGAGATGTAGATAGGTCTGACCAGGTGCCCAGTTAGAAATCTGTTTCTATGAATACCTCAGTGAGATGTAGTAAACAGACAGATAGATAGGTCTGACCAGGCTCCCAGTTAGAAATCTGTTTCTATGATGACCTCAGCAAGATGCAGATAGATAGATAAGTATGACCAGGCTCTTAGTTAGAAATCTGTTTCTATGATGATCTCAGAGAGATGTAGATAGGTCTGACCAGAATGAGCTCATTTCCTTCTGCATCAGCACATGTGGTTGAGCAGATCAATCAATCAATTTCAGATGCTATCTCTAACCAATCAGTCAGGTGCTACCTCCAATCAATCGATCAGATTTTATATCCAGTCAGTCAGTCAGATGCTATCTCCAATCAGTCAATCAATCAGATGCTATCTCTAATCAATCAATCAATCAGATGCTATCTCTAATCAATCAATCAGCTGCTATTTTCCAACTAATCAATCAGATGATATATTCAATAAATCAATCAGACATTTTTTAAAATCAATCAATTAGATTATATCTCCAATTAATCAATCAGATGTTATTTCCAATCAATTAATCAGATGCTATCTCTAATCAATCAAGCAATCAATCAATCAATCAGATGCTATCTCTAATCAATTGATCAGCTGCTATTTCCAACCAATCAGTCAAATGCTATTTTCAAACAATAAATCAGACATTATCCCCAATCAATCAATTTGATGCTATCTCCAATCAATCAATCAGATGTTATTTCCACACTAACTTTAATGGATCTCCAAAACTCTGTCCCTTGCCCTAGTTCCATATTGTCATAAGCTGCTGTCTGTTTATCTCCTTATGTTATCTTTCCTCTTGTAATACTGTATACCTCTTTGATTGTCTGCCGCCAACATTTTCTTTCTGTATAACATTACTGCAAAATCATCAACATGAGCGGGGTCTTTTTTGTGTGTGCAGAAAATCGCTCTTTTTACAGTCTATTTGAAAGAAACTCTGTCTCTCGCCAGTTCTCCCATCTCCTGCTCTTTCCTACCCAAGGTATCACTTATTTCCTGTGCCCATCTTAGCGGTGGTCGATCAAAGTCCCTCTTTCATGGTATTATGCTCTCTACCATTATTTTTTCAAATCTGCTATGGGGTTTGATATGACCAAAATATTTCAGTTTCTGAGACAAGATGTTGTTTACTAGCCAATCTTTCTTGACGTTTTAGGATGTTAATATTTCTTTTCTTTTTGCTGGAAGTTCTGAGAATCTTTCTAGAACATTTTGCCTCAAAAGCCCCATTTTCTTCCTTTATAACCATTATTTTTATACACATTAAATGGTTGCTGATTGTTCAGGTGACATCAGAGTGTGCACTGCCCAAGAATTAGAGGTCAAATGGGAAGAACAGTGTGGCAAATCCCAGCTCTACTGCCGCTTCCAGTTGTTGTCTGTAGTGCTAAAGAACTCTACTGACTCCAACTGAACTCGACAGAGGCTTTCATAATATTCTTCTTCACGTTTACCAGCAGAAAGCTCTGGTTGTTTGTCCACCTCTGATCCGGTCAAAATGGATGCTAGGCAGGGGTACTGTTTGGAGCCGAGGCAACATTTTTGCTTCTGTCCGACGGTGGCCAATGCATTTTCGCTCCATTTGTAGACTGGATATAGTTTCGTCACCCAGCTTCTGAGTTGAATGGTGTGACACTGTGAGCTGCAAATTTCATTTGGAATGTTTTTTTGACTGTGACCAATGTGTGGTGGTGTGAATTGTAGATTCATAAAATGGCGTGATGCCTGTTGTCGCAATGTTGGTGGTGCCCGTGTGTGATTAAAATTGATCGCCTGGGAAACTGCTGATCTGTTGGTGACTTCTGCTACCATCAATGTTGAACTGCATTTCTAATGTCGGACTGTTTGTGTTAGCACTTCGGATGGCTACCGTATGTTTTAATGCGTGTGTATGCAAGATATGCTGAGACAGCAGTCTGTCATCTTTCCACAAGGGGCTGTGATAAACACACTGTGTGTTTTTCGTTGGCACAGGAGCAGAGCAAAGATAGGGAGACCCGTTTGCTATGAAGCTGAAACTAAGACTACCACCTGTGAACAATAGTTCTGATCTAGAACCTGCATGTTGTGTGCACATCCGTTTTACAGATCTGACTAATGTGTATGCAGACTGTTGGTTCCCAGCCTCTCAGGCAGATGCAGTCCAACTTTGAAGGAAGTCCCCAGATAGTCGACACTCATAACGTGCTTGTTGGAGAGGCAGTGGATCCATCTTAGTTCCCATAAAAATGTTATATCTCACTACACATTCAGTATATCACTGACTGACTGACTGACCCAGCTACATAAATCACAACTTACAGGTAAAACACAGGCATTGACAAGAGGATCTTTGATAACATATATCTGCCATTCTCTGAACTGCATCTTCCGCAGCTCAGGGTTTGCTGAAAGAAGTCGCCTGGCTACCTGCAGCACACGTAGGGACTGTGGATCGTTTGGTGCATGTTGCTTAGTTCCATATATCTCTATCAGCTGTATGTGGCAGAAGAATACACAGTAACATAAAATATTATCAGCTGTATGTGGCAGAAGAATACACAGTAACATAAAATATGATCAGCTGTATGTGGCAGAAGAATACACAGTAACATGAAATATGATCAGCTCTATGTGGCAGAAGAATACACAGTAACATAAAATATGATCAGCTGTATGTGGCAGAAGAATACACAGTAACATGAAATATGATCCGCTGTATGTGGCAGAATACACAGTAACATAAAATATGATCAGCATAACAGTATTAAAAAAATAACTGTCGTCACTAACTTTATTTACTACGTTTAGGGCAGGTAGTATCTTTAATATGAGAATAATTTTTGAAAAATGCAAAGAATACAATGTAGATCTTCATGCTTGTTTTATTGAGCAAGGCAATTGATTGTGTCCAACACCACAAACTGTGGACTATTATGAAAAGTATGGGGTTTCCAACGCATTTAGTGCATTTAAATGAAAATCTTTATCATGAGCAACAGGCACCTATCAGAGCAGCTGGTGAACTCCGCTACGCAGATGACACAGTCCTTCTTTCGAACAGCGTAAAGGGAATATAAAATTTAATATTGTCTGTCCAAAAGCACAGTGAAGATCAAAATCTGTTCTTGAATTGAAAGAAAACGAAAATAATGTCCACAGATAAAACTGGCTGTCATACCACCCCCCCCCCCCACCCCCCCCCCCCCACAAAAAAAAAATAATTAAGAAATTGAAAATGTCACAAACTTTGAATATCTAGGCTCTATAATAAACTGCAATGGAGTCTGTTCGACAGAAATTAAAAGGAGGATGGCCACAGAAATGCACAGATATAACAGCCTTAAAAGTGTATGGTTAAACACAAGCAAGGAGATAAAAATTAGAATTTTGAGAGCATGCATCTTCCCTGTGGCTACATACGGATGTGAGTCGTGGACTATCTCTCAGTCCTTAAGAAAGAGAATAGGGGCTTTTGAGCTGAAATGCTATAGAAAGATTCTCAGAATATCTTGGACAAAGAAGAGGAGAAATATTGACACCATAAAAGGTCTGAACATCAAGGAAGATTGGCTAATAAACAGCATCCTTTCTCGGAAGCTGAAAAATTGTGGTCATATCAAGCGCCACGACGGATTGGAAAAAATTATAGCAGAAGGCATGGTACCAGGAAGGATGGGGAGGGGCAGGGGCCGACCAACACTAAGATAGGCACAGGATATAAGTGACTCCTTGAATATGAAAGTATATGAGGCGGGAGAACTGGCGAGAGACCGAGTTTCTTTCAGGCAGACCGTGATGAGAGCGACGTTTTGCAAAGGACCTGCTACATGATGATGAGGGCAGGAAGTACAGGGGCTTGTCAGCTGAGATTTAATCCCCCTCACCCAGTAAATGCCGATATCCAGGCCTATCCGGATTTTTGTAATGGCATGTCTTTTGGCAGTGGTTGCTTTGTCTGTACAACAGCTTTGATGTTGGTTGCAACTGCAGTGTTTAGGCATAGTGGGTACAACTATTTTAAAAAGTAATATCTAGGGCGAAAAAGAAAAAAAAATACGGAAAAGAGGGGGGGGGGGGGGGGGGTATCATTGTTACCTCATTCTTGCATCGTAAAAATTTAATATGGTCTCACATGGTCAGAAAAATCTTTGTTAACACACCCAGACTTTTTTTTTAGTGAAAGGGAGTGAAAGCAATTAACTCTCTGCTCCATTTGTATTTCATGATTACATCCCTTACTAGAGGGAGTCGCCGTGGTCTAGCGGTTACACTCTTCCTTGCGGATCGGAAGGTCATGGGTTTGCTTCCTGGGGGAGCCAGACTTTTGTTTTAAAAATGACCTTGGCTATCAGGTTGACCCAGTGGGTACCAGGTACAATCCTGGGAAGTAAAGGCGGCCTGCATAATGCTGACCATATCACCTATCTTGTACTATTGGCCTATAAAGTGTGGGCCTTGCCCTATTAACACAATATGCCTGAAAGGCATGGAAAATGGTCCTTAATTTTTACTTTATCCCTTACTAGACAACATTTGTTACATTGGCGGGGGAAAAAAAGGGGGAGGGGAGTATGAATCAGATTTTACTTTTATTTTTAGATCAGCTGGCAGCAGCTATGGCAGAAGTGGAAGCAGATTTGCATGTCTGCTTCATGGTCAAACATGTCTATCACCTGGATTTTTATGAAAACTGATCAAGACTCCAAATGTCTTTCGTTTCTGCTTCTCTTCCTCTAGTTTCGATTTTTATGTTGTCTAGTGTGTTCTTCTATCTTTCTACTTCTTCAAGTGCTGATCAAAACATTTTCTGTTACTTTATTAATATATAATAGTTTCTTGGGCGAAGTTTCTGAGAATTAAAAGAATGTTTTTTTTTGTTGTTTTTTTTTTAAATATTTTTAAATAAGGATGTGTTTAAAATTCTTAACTTTTTGAGTCCCAGGGGGTTTAGCATCACAGGCCCAGGGGGTAGTAAAGAAAGTAATAAAATTGGCGCATCATGCGTTCATTGGGCTTCTAGATAGGAACCTATGAACGTATGATGCGTTCCTTGGGACTCAAAGAGTTAAGGGCTGAAAGGGTTAAGGCCCTGTGGCTAGTGTAGCTGCCACAAACTGTGCAGGTTGGGAGTTTTATTTGTGTCTTACTGAAGCAGAAAAAGAAAACCACCAGCTTTTACCAAGGACTGAAACAAGGTCTGACACCTGAAAGCCCAGCACTCTGATTACTCAGCCAGCTGATCCTTAGATGCAGTTTCCTCACTTAGCATTTACTGGCTGTAAACTCTGGTGGAAAGCTCTAGCAGAAAGTTCTGGTTGTTCATCCACTTCTAGACTTTGGGCTTGTTTCAGAAATAGAGTTGTGTGTGCATGTCCATTTTACAGATCTGACTAATTTGTATGCAGAGTGTTGGTTCCTTGTCTCTCATGTAGATGCGCTACAATTTCAAAGGATGCCCCTAATTAGTTAACTCTTATGACATGCTTGTTGGAAAGTAGTGGGTCTTTTCTTGTCTTCTCCACAATGCAGCCCCAGATCCCATATATAACTTAGAGCAGGCTATGGTGAATTTTAATGTAATGAGTCAAATGTTTATTTTTAAAAAAAATTATTGGATCACATCATGTGTTTTTTGTGACACATGGGCAGCAGTTGATCACACATGGTGTGCTGGTTGGGACTTCTTCTTTGCGTTCGGCTTTGTATGCTCAGATCAGACCATCAGGTGGGTTGCATGTCAGTGGCAGGTCCTTCATGGTTCCCCATAGTTTGCTCTGTACACTTTGCTCTTGGGGCCAGGTATCTTTTCAGAGCTGTATGTAGAGTGGGCAGGTCTACAGAATGTGCTCAGGTGTCTGTGGTCCTGTTTGTACTATCTTTATTTTATGCATGTGGTAGCTGAGCCTGCAGTGTCCTGTTCGTAGACAGAATACTGTTGTATGTTGCTTTCTGTGTTAGTTTGTTCTCTCCACAATTCCTTGTATTTTCCTTTGATAAGTGTTCCGATTTCTGGTAATGACAATGAATGTGCGTGTTGTTTCTCCATTGTTCCATTTTTTTTAAAGTCTGTCTGCTAACTCATTTCCTGGTATGCCGCAGTAATCCGGGATCCACCGGAGAGCGATTTGATTGTTTTCTGTGAGTCTGTTTAGTTAGTGGGTCAGTTCTCTCTCCATGTTGTCTCGTGGATCCCTCTGAGTCGCCTGGAGGGCTAACATGCAGTCACAAAGAAAACGAATTATCTGTTTTTAATTTTTCTTTCCTCTAGCACTTTGGCTGAATCAGTAATTGTTTGCTGCTCTGCTCTGAAGTTTGTTGAGGTTGGGACTTCTTCTTTCTTCTTCTTCTTCTTGTTCACCGGCTGTGAATTCCGGCGGTAAGTCGCGGTTGTTCGTCCAAAATGGACTTTTGGCTTTTACCTTGACCTGAGTTTTGCGTGTACATCCGTTTTACTGGCTTATTTGTTCGCAGTTCTCGTTCCCCGCCTCTACGGCAGATGTACTCCGACTTCGGGGGAAGAGGTTGGGACTGAAACAGTTACTTGTTCCTATCGATATCCTAGCACATTGGCCCGACCCATTTGATCTCCATCCTCTGATGAAAAAAGCCATCTCAGTATCTCAATGCTCAATGAAGCAAGCAGAAGTTGACTGACTTATCTTCTTTTTTTCTTTTTGCCCCCGTAACCTGTTTCTGCATGCACTTCCTTGTTTAATATCCATTCCAACAGATAGTTCACTGCCTCCGACTCCTTCATCTCAAAGTCTCTTTCAGTATTCCTGACATGTCCATAGTTCTTGCTCCACCAACCACTGCAGACATGGCCAGTATGTAAGCTAATTCTTTCTGAAACAGTTAAGGTCAAACATAGATGAAGAAGACACTTCAACGGTGAGTTAGAGCTATTATCCTTTACAAACCTGCGTAGCCTCAGCTTGAGCAATCTTCACAATCTGATCGTGGGTCAGTGCAATGAACCTCTTTCTCCCCGTCACTGGAGTCTCCTCTATATGACTCACATAGTAGATACCTGCTGAAGCGGCAAGAGCTGCGGGGACCCCAGCAGAAATATACCAGTGACGTTTGACCGCAGCCCATATTTTCTTTCTCTGGGCAGGTTTAAGGCTCCTGAACCATATCCGCAGACTCCTGTAATTATGTTAATTAATTCCAGTTGAAACAAAGTAATAATGATTTTTATACAGGTTAAAGTTTCATAATGCCAGGGTGCCGGGTTCGATCCCTGCTGCGGACGGTTTGTCTTGTGATGGTTTTGACCGTGGTACCGAGAGCCGACCGTTCAGACAGCAATGGCAAACTACTGGACGTAAATTTGCCTAGAAAAACCACAACAGCCAAAAAGTGAAGGGGTTGGTTCTGCAACATCATGTAAAGGATATGCAACTAATACAGGTTAAAGGGAAGTAAAGGGACATTTTATATGGAGCAAATGATGCTAGATCAGGGCTTTTCAACTTGGGAGCACCCCCCCCCCCCCCCCCCCCCATCTGTATGTGTAATAATGGGTGATGTAGTCAACATCAGGCCGACTGCCCTATCCTTCCCAGGAACCCATATTAGCCTGGGGTGACCTAGGAGCCATTGCCATGTTCCTTCCAAATACACCTGGTGCGGATTCGAACCTAAGACTTTCAGACCAGTAGGCCACACAGCTCCCCAAAGCGTAACTAATACATACAAAAGACTTGCTGATCACATTTCAGTTATAATAAAGCAACAAGGGTTTCTTCAGTTTAACTATTTCAGTCATTGGGGGTTCAACATCATAGGCCTAGGGATTAATAGACAGAGATACAAAGCATCAACGCATCTTGCGTTCATGGGACGTTAAAGGTAGGAATCTATGAACTGATGATGCGTTCCTTGGAACTGACAAATGATAAACATTTTATAGATTTTCTGCATGGGATATGCAGGTTTGTGGGGCAAAGAACATACCGAAAGACTGGCTGCCACTGCCATGCTGAGCAATAATTTACTTCATGATAAGGCAGATGTAATGAAGACTCTAAAATCAGGCTGATAGGTCTGTAATAGTAACAGCAGGCAACCATCAGTCCCTAGGGACCAAGTTCAAGGTGTCTCCTTCGTGCCAAAGAACTGCATGGCTGGTGGGTGAACATTTGTCAACAAAGGCAGTCAGGTCATTGTAGGGGCAACGCTTCTGGTGGATGTATTGTCCCAAGTCCCTTCCCCAGCTAATAGTGAGGGTAGTGTTGGGGTGACCGTTTATCAACCCTCACATAATGCTTCAGGTCAAAATGGACTATAGGCACGGCCACATTTTTTTAGCTGTGGCAAATTTCTTTGCTTCTGCCAGATGGTGGCCATTGCATTTTTGCTCCATTTGTAGAGTGGAAGGATATAGGTTTGTTGCCCAGTTTCTGAGTTAAGTACATGGCGTGACACAGTGAGCTGCAGATTTCATTTGAACTGTGATAAACATTTTGTGTGTTTTATGTTGGCACAGGAGCGGAGCAACTATGGGGTGACCCGTTTGCTATGAAGCTGAAACTAAGATTACCAGATTACCAGGGACCATGGTGTTGTACCGCTGGTTTTGGGAACAGCGTCTGCTATGACTGTAAAGTACATTGCAGGAGTGGAGTGGCAGTCTCTGCCTCACATTCGACATAAACAGATTGATAGTCTAGTATTCTGAGGCCGATTTTAACTGAGATATTTTCTCTCTGTAGCTTTAATTGATATGCCCGGAATCGTGGTTGGTGGGCACAATATAAACAATTTACGCTATACTGATGACACAGTCTTGATAGCAACAAGTCAGAAAGAATTACAGGAAATGATAGACATTGTCGTGTTAGAAAGTGGAAGAATGGGCCTCAGTTTGAATAATGGGAAGACAGAAGTAATGGTTGGTATCAAAGAAACAAATTTTCCTAAATGTGTACTAAAAAGTCAATGGTGTTATTTTAAGACAAGTACAGAAATTTAAGTATCTGGGCACATGGATAACACCAGATGGAAGATGCATAACTGAAAAAAGAAACAGAATTGGACAGGTAAAAACTGCATTTTATAAAACGAAAAACATCTTGTGCAATATATCCTTGTCATTGAGAGTTAGAAAAAGAAATCTTGCTTGCTACATACATCCAGTTCAGTTTTAACATATGGATGTGAATCCTGGACAATCGGTAGGCAGGCCAAACAATTTTTAGAGGCCTCAGAGATATGGTTTTACAGAAGAATGCTTAGAATACCTTGGACAGCCAAAAAGAGCAACCAAGAGGTTTTAAAAGAGGCGGGAGCCCGAAGACAACTTATTACTGACATCAGAAGGAGACAGTCAGCATTTCTCGGCCATGTTATGAGAAGAGGGAAAATAGAACATGTTGTGACCACTGGAAAGATCTGTGGAAGCAGGGATAGAGGAAGACAACGAGAGAAGATGCTGATGATGATGAGCTTGCTGCATTTGGACGCTTGCTCGTCTACTTCTGGATTTTAGTCTCATTTCAAAACTTGAGCTGTGCATGCACATCTGTTTTGCAGATCTGTTTTACTTCTATGCAGGCTATTGGTTCTTTACTTCTCAAGAGGAAGTACTTTGATTTGGAAAGAGAAACCCTTGCTCGTCTACTTCTGGATTTTAGTCTCATTTCAAAACTTGAGCTGTGCATGCACATCTGTTTTGCAGATCTGACTTACTTCTATGCAGGCTATTGGTTCTTTACTTCTCAAGAGGAAGCACTTTGATTTGGAAAGAAAAACCCTTAATTAGTCATCTATTACAAAATGCTGGGGAATCGTGGGTCTGTTTTCTCCCCCTAAAATGTGGCCCTGGAACCCATACAGGGAATAAAATTATGATAAAGTCATGTTTACAAGACTGAACAAATCTATATCCTCTTCATGTCGCTGTTGACACATAAGGCATTTACAAGTGATCTCCATTGCTGTCGGTCTGCTGTTTTTCTGCCTATGGTATTCCATGTCAGTTTACATTCCTTCATTTCCTGTTCTATTGTCCTTCTCCAGGTTTCCTTAGGTCGTCCACATCTCCTTTTCCCATCTGCTGTCCATCGGAGAGCTGTTTTTGCCAGAGTGTCACAAAGCATTCTGCAAACATGTCCAAGCCATATCCATCGTATTACTTTGATAAAATTTGCCAGTGATGCACATTCTGTTTTCCGACTCAGTTCTTCATTTGTGATCTTGTTTGGCCAAAATAAGACGGAGAAAAACTCAAGAATTTTCCAAAAGACAGCAGCAAAAGACAGTGTAGCCAGTATTCACTGTGAAGACAGCACACAGTTTAATTACTTTATTTAACCTACCTGCCAGTCAAAACAGCTGAAAATTTGGCTAATGGTTTCAGAAATATCCACAGCACCGGATGGATTGGACGGCGACTGCTTGTGTGAAAGACCCGGGTTTGATAAGTGCCCCATTGTTGTCTTCTGATGAATGTCTGTGCCGTCTGGAGTAACTGGTTACGATTACTAGTTCTTAAATTACTTGACCCTGTTAATCCAAGTCCGGTATGACGACAAGTCAAGAGGCCATAAATGGACACTGTTTCACTTTTTGCAGCTGAAAATCTTAGATCAGACAACAAGGGTCTGATAAATGAAGTCCATCTCTGCATTTTCTGGATGTTCAAGTTCAGTTTTATACTACAGAAATACAGTCCACAAATGTATGAATTATGTTACTGCCCACAAATGTATGAATAATCTTACTGCCGACATATGTATGAATTATATTACTGTCCACAAATGTATGAATTATATTACTGCCCACAAATATATGAATTATCTTACTGCCGACATATGTATGAATTATGTTACTGCCGACATATGTATGAATTATGTTACTGCCCACACATATATGAATTATCTTAGTGCCAACAAATATATGAATTATCTTTTTCAGAAAATTACCCTAAATTACTCTCCATGTGTTTCTAATATAATAATAACAGTAATAATAATACTATTCTAATATAATTGATCTGTTGTCTTCTGTCACAGAAGAATGTTTTGTCATTCCTTATTATCTAGATATACTAGTTTAACTTCTAATGTCTTCATGTTCAGCCGCTGTAAACTCCATCAGAAAATTCTGGTTCTTCGTCCACCTCTGGACTTTAGTCTTGTTTCAGAAACTAAGTGTTGCATGCACATTTGTTTTACAGATCTGACTTCTCTTGAGATATGCAGACTGTTGGTTAGTCGACTCTTAAGACATGCTTGCTGGGAAGGCTCTGAGTCTTTACTTGTTTTCCCCATAAAGGCATCCCGGAATCCAGACAGGGAATGTCTCATAGCATCTGTGGTGAGCTCTTTAGGGTCAAATTATTTACTGCTTTTATACTAAACATTCAGTATAGAAAAAATTAAGGTAACAACTGTATAGGATTGAAAAAGGTAAGAATTCAACTATCTATAAAATTAATCTCGCAGAAGCAGAAAGATTAACAGATACAAGTTAGAGGCATATCCTTTACGTGCTGCAAAAACCAGCCCAAGCACTGTTTAGCTTTATTAGGCAATTTTATGTTCAGTAGTTTGAATGATGACAACAGTCCTGAAATCCCATGCTACAATTGTGGAAGACTTTTCTTAACAATGTGGGGTCTTGTTAGTCAAACTAATCCATCACTATAGGTTGCAAGTCTCATGTCTCTTCATTGCACAATATAACACTTTCTTCTGGAACGAAGTTTGAAATTACTTTCAGAACGGTCAGCACTCAATATCATTGTCAAATCTAACACAATGCAGTCTGCTGCCAAATCGCCTGCAGCTTGAATCAAACCGGGTATCTCAGAGTAACAGATATTCCAAGAGGAAAAAGTTGAAAGCAAGAGAGCAACAAGTAGAAAGAGTGTGGCAGAGATATTTTACAGCCAACCTTCATTGGGGAGATGGCACCTGACCGACTAAGTTAATATTAATTTGGGAACTAATAGACCCATCCTCTGGCAGACGGGTTTCCTGTAGGCCAGCAATATCTATGTCAAGTTTGTTGAGTTCGGCATCAATGACAGCCGTTTTTCTCACATCATTAATGTTTTCCAGGTCAGTGGAAAACCTTGGACACATGGTCCTCACGTTACAAGAGCCAAGTTGAAGCTTGGGGTTATGTTTCTTTTTATTGCCTGGTGCATTGGTTTTAAAGCCTGCAGTTTGGATTTTGTCCTAGCTCCAAGCACCCATTGAAGCTTACAAGCTGTGGCGGATCAACACCTTATTGGCTGGTGGTTGCCGAGCTTAAGGCGGGCGGTAGTTGATCAGTGACATTCGAAGACATCTCCCACCGTCAGAGGCAACCCATGGCGCCCCTGTCTACGCCAACTGTCAAGGACTTATAACCCGTAACTGCCGCCTCTCGATTTGTTTCCGAGACCGATTAAGGCCAGGGATGAAGTTCCTCCTCTCCATAGCCCAAAGCCTGGGCAGTATTGTAGAGACCATATGTTGCCCATAGATAATGATCCCTTCCTCGACCTGCCTTGTTTACTCCAAAGGAAAGATAAAACCAGTACGTTTGGAACGAGGCAGGTTGCAGAAGCTGCCGGATCAGAAGAGCAGTGATCTATCTGTCCGCCTGTCAGAGCTTCCCTCCTAGACCAGCTGCCAGCCAAGGTGAAGGGCCTGGTCTGCCCTGCCATAACACAAAGTTTTCAGGTTGCATTTCCTCTTCCTAGGATAAGACTAGTATCCTCCCCAATGTGCTCCTCCACCAGAAACCGTTGGCACAATATGGGATGTTGGGTTAGTATACGCCGCCCAACATTCGGCGTAACAGAAGACAGGTGGAACCGGCTACTGTTATACGGTAGCTCGTCATATCTGACCAAGACCTGACACCAACACCCCAGTATGTCTTAATAACTTGCAATATTTTAGCATAAGTTCTAGACCTAACCAGACAATTAGCACTAGCATGATTTTTCAGCATGCTCGTAATATAAGCCCCACCCTAAATATAAGTTATAGTTAAGAACATCAACCAGAAGGGCTGATTTCGTCCATCTGCTGAAATAAGGGCTCTCCTCCGAACTTCTACCCCCGCAGTATTGCGGCCTGAAATATCCGTTCGGGGCGCAGTCCAATAAAAAATATGGACTTGTCGGAGTTTCCGCCGAGGAACAAATTGCTGCAAAACTAGGAGTACCTTACAATGTCACGAGACGCAACATTGCAGACGATAAAAGCGACCGGTGACAATGTCGAGCGTTTTCTGCAGACGATACTAGCAGACGATAAAAGCGACCGTTGACAATTTCGAGACATTACAGACTATGAAAGCGATATGGCAGGTAGACCACGCGCTCCCACGCAGATTAGCAATACTGTTCTTCCGATTGAGGATTTTGTCGGCATGCGCAAAACGCGATTAAACTCACCGCCGAGCGTATGGGGGGCTAAACTAGGTGCCTGGGACTCACGAGCAGAGTAATTGGAGGAAGTTGCAGGAGACGCGGTAGCTGCCGCTCATGAGTCCCAGCCATCTAGTTTAGCCCCTATCCGCGCCGCGGGTAGCGGCACTGGGAATACGGTCGGCGGTGAGGCATAGTCACAGAAACAGGTCCGCAAGTAACATATCGCTGAGACCCTGTTAGAGCATTTGTTGCGTTTTTCCGAGCCGATCCTTGATTTGCCTTGATTCGTCGGCAGAAAGTTCGACAATGGAAAGTGTCAACGGTCGCTATTATCGTCGTCTGCTACTATCATACTATCGTCTGCAGTGTTATGTCTCTTAGAATTGTCAGGTAATCAGAAACAGGTCCGCAAGTAACATATCGCTGAGACCATGTTAGAGCATTTGTTTCGTTATACGGAGCCGGCATATTTTTAATTGGACTGCCCCCGAACGGATATTTCAGGCCGCAATACTGCGGGGATAGGGATAGAAGTTCGGAGGAGAGGGCGAAATTAGCAGACATGTTTAATTATAAAGTAATTATTAAAAAGACACACACAACTATACTGCCTGCATGTACCACTTTCAGAGCGGTGTAGGAAGGGAGATGGTCGTAATGAGTCTGGACATTTAAGGCTTAGTAAAGTGACGATGAACTGTGCAGGTTTGGATTTTCACATACTAGTAGTAGTACTACTCGAAGATTCTATACATGTTACACCTGTGTCACCTCCGGCCAAAACAAGAGCTCTCCAGTGTGATCAAACACAAACATGCCGCTAGTTGACAGCAGTGATCTCCCCTGGTCGTCTGTAAACAGGGCAGCATGGATCTCCTGGCCTCCGAGTCTAGTGAAGATGAGAAAGTTGCCTTTAAAATAAATGAAAACTACGCGAAACATTATGAGAAATGGCGTAAGAAGGAGGAGCGTCAAAAGCGTAAGATTTTCTTTTTGCTATGGTAGGTTAGATACCAATGTTTAATTGTTACTGACTGTTGTCAGACAAAACAGAAATTGAATTTGACAGGCAGACACTCACACAGGTAGTGAGGTAGTTGGGCACTCTTCCGAATACCGGTCCCAAATTATTCAAAGACAAACAAAAAATCCCATTCAGGGCCTCAAGAGGTCGTAGTTAGGGACTTGAGAGGTCATGTAGTTAAAAATATGGAACAGGAACACTACGAACTATGCTTTCTTTTATTATATAATTTGGTTTTAACAAAATTACTGAGTCTTCACACTTCGCTAGTACCGTTGATAAGCAGTCTGCCTGTTACGCCGGTGATCGCGGTACGATTCCCCGGCGGGCAAAAAACTGTTTTCGGCTCACCTCCGAACTTCTACCCCCGCAGTATTGCGGCCTGAAATATCCGTTCCGGGCGCAGTCCAATTAAAAATACGGACTTGTCGGCATGTCGGAGTTCCCGCCG